TTCCGAGTCCTTCCATCCGACAGGAAAATATTTTCCGGACAAAGGGAAAAATTTTCCCCGACGACAGGAAGAACTCTTCCAGTTGTCCGTCCGTAAACCATTCAAATTTTCGAAAATTGAGAACTTTTTCGTCGAACTTCAGAAAAAGTTCTTCCTTCCGACAGGACACAAACGAATGTCCGACAGAAAAAGTTCTTCCTTCCGACAGGACACAAACGAATGTCCGACAGAAAAAGTTCTTCCTTCCGACAGGACACAAACGAATGTCCGACGTCCCACCAACCGAGCCGATTCCCAAACCAGAAGAACCGACAGCCCCAGCGCCACAACAGTCTCCTCAGCAAGTCCTCCACCAAATTACTACCAATTTCCACCTCAAGGTTACTACCAATTTCCACCTCAAGGTTACTACCAATTTCCACCTCAAGGTTACTACCCACCACAAGGCTTCCCGAACTACCCTCCTCCTCAGCCTATGCCTTACTTCCCCAACCCTTGGTTGTTCCAGCAAGCTCCACCCCAGCAATCTCAATCTCAATCTCAATCGAAGAGAGACCAAGACTTCGAAGAAGGTCTGAACCGCTTACGCAAAGAGTATGCCACAGCCCCGATGGAAGATGACAGGCTTTCAGTCTCTTCCCTCAAATCGACCGATTCGACTCGTACCACAGATTCGGTTCGTGACCGTGAAGACTACCTCAAGCAGTCTGAGAGACTCTTCATCCTACAATCATTTACAGTTGGAGCTCTCAAGAACATGCGCAATTACGAAGGTCAGACACCAGCTGGAGACCGCAAAACAGACATACTCGCAAGAGCAGTCCAACTGGTCAAGACAAAGACCGAGATAGTCGACTTCATTCTTGCAGCTTGCCCATACAAGTAAAAAAATAAACAATTACGAGTTAAACTTTTTATTCTTTCTTTTCTGAGTTGTTTAGAGCTGGTTTCTCTTGTAGGAACCTTTCGTACTCTTCCATGGTCATGTAATTGCGAATTTGGTACGCAATTCCAGGTTCGTTGTTTTTGAACCTTACGTATGTAACGCTTCCATCCTCCTCAGGGAAGTAAGCTGCTAACATCTGACCAAGTTTTCTCGGTGACTCGGAGCTCATTAAAAATGTCACTTTTTAAACGTTAAGTTTTTAGTCTTATTTTACCCTTTGTTTACCCTTTGTTTGTCAAGGTAGTATTGGAGTGCAATTTCTCCAAATTCTCTGTGTCGGAGTTCTTCAGCATTTTCCAAGGTGTGCCTGGAGAACTCAAAGAAGTTGTCAAGAACATACTGCCATGCTGCTCTTCTGAGTTCGTCGGTATTTTGGAAGTGTTGCACCTTCGAGTCTTCGGACATGAAAAAATTACACTTTTTCTATTAAACCGTTTTGGCATTTCTCATGAGTGAGTATAGTTCTGCCGAACCATTGGAAGAGAAGAAGTACCCTTGCTGGCAAAAGACAAAAATAGTTGCCTTAGTTGTCATTGCAATTGTACTCGTAATTGAATTCATTGTACTTCTCTTCACGTACATAAAACTCAGCAATGGTATTTGCTTTAAGAAGCTACCATCTTACTAAGACTAAACACTTAGATTTTTCAAGCTTGACTTTTTACAATTTGAATTTTGTTGCTGAATTCAGCAAAAATAAAGTTTAGGTGAAGAGGTGAGATTTCACCTCTTTTTTCACCTGTTTTTTCACCCTCTCGAATTTTCATGATTTCATCGTAAATGTTTTGTCAAACATGAACGTAAATGTTTTGTCGAAACTTCATCGTAATGAGCGTAAATCAGACAAAAATAATGTTTAGGTGAAGAGGTGAGATTTCACCTCTTTTTTCACCTGTTTTTTCACCCTCTTGAATTTTCCCGAAATAAAAAATAAAGTTAGTTTTATTTTTTATTTTATTTATTTTTTTATTTTGTATAAAAAATATGATTTCAACAATCGGCACAACAACAGTTCAAACAACTACAGCACCAAACTCGTTAGTTATGAATCCAACATCTATGTTGGTAGAGATGAAAAACTTCATTCCTTCTTCATATACTTTCGAAACAAAAATCCAGAAGATAAAGCAAGAACTTTTAACAAGTAATTTAGACTGTAGTGCGAAAGATGAAACAAATGAACAGTATCTTTATGAAATGCAGGACATTATTGACCATTTACCCAAATTGCCTGAAATCCAACAACAAAAACTCACTATTCCAGAATTTGAAGAAATAGAAGTAAAAACAACCGACTCAGTAGAAATAAAGAAGTTCATACGAAAGGTAAACTATGAGTTTCTTGGATTTCATTGCAACCATAAGGTTATGGACAAAGATTGCGACATGGTATATAAGAACATCTCTGACATATATAAATCTGAAGAATTTAAGACCTACGACAACTTTGTTTCATTAGTTGCAAAATGTGTTTGGGAAATAAGAGATAAAGATAGTAGGGGTAAGGTATGGAACGAACAAATAAGACCCGCTATGTTCGAGATGAAGAGAGCAATTGACGCCTTAGTTGTTTTAGCAGGTAAGGTTTCAGAATATAACGCAAAAATGAACCCGCAATGTTCAAAATGTAAAGCAGCAATGAGGAAATATAACTACTCAGTCAAAGAGATAGAAAGAATGCGAAACGACTATGCAGACTTAAAGAAAGAAGCAGAAAAGCCAGCAGAAGATAAAATGGATATGTTGACATTTCTTAATAAAAACTATCCAACAGCAGAAGATTTCCTTCTATCTGACGTCAAGAAGAAGTATAAAGAAACTTTCGGTATCGTTAAAACATTCGATGTACTGACAGAAGAAATAGAAGCTACGAAATTGTTTAGGATTTCAAATATACATCATACAATTCATGTAAAACGCTTATAAAATAACAGGTGAAAAAAGAGGTGAAAAAAGAGGTGAAATCTCACCTCTTCACCTAAAATATATTTTTATTGAATTCAGCAACAAAATTCTGAGTAAAATAATTTTTAGGGCTTGTGTCAAACCGTTGAGTTTTCACAAAATTTAAAAAATAACTGAGGTGAAAAAACAGGTGAAAAAAGAGGTGAAATCTCACCTCTTCACCTAAAATATATTTTTATTGAATTCAGCAACAAAAACAGTGAAGAACAGCGAGTAGGGAAAAAACCCTGGTCGCCAAAACTCTTTATTTTTCAAGCTTGACTTTTTACAATTTGAACTTTGTTTGCGTAGATATGAATTCTGAAAGAAGTATGAGGGTCTTGTATGACTTTGTACTTCTCCCATAGTTCATGTCTGTCAAACTTACCTGCCATGGACTCTTTCATAAGTTCCATGAAATCGTCTTCGGACAATCCGGGGAAAAGTATTATGTCAGTAAGTATTCTTTTAACATCCTTACTTAAAAACTCTTGGCTGTCTGTACACATATTACGACTGAGATGTTAAAGTGTCTGAGCTTCTTAAGAATTCGACACATATCTTGTTCTCTGTTCTTTAACAAAGGATGAGAAGCAAAGTCATCTAAGATAAGAAGACATCTGTGAGGGTAAGTCTTCCAATCGTAAGATTGCAATTTCTTCGAAATGTATTCTATCTCTTTCTGTTTGTTTCTGAAGTGTTTCTTCTCTAATATTCTCTGCATTTCCTCATTTGGGTCTTTAAACTTCGAATTTATATACTCATTTATAGCATTATACTTCAAAACTCTTCTTTGGTACTTCTTTATCCAATCTAACAACTCAGTATCCTTTATACATACTAACTTAGACTTCTTTATAATATCTTTGAACGAATTGACGGTTTGGTCAAATTGACCAGAAGTCGAACAAATGACAACTAACTCATAGAATGGGTTCTTCTCATCTAGTTCTTGTTGTTGTGCAGCCATTTTAAGATAAGTGAAAGTCTTACCCGACCCAGGTGGTGCAATTAGACCTGTTATACCATTCTGAGCAAATAAGAACTTGTCATGTATAGGTTTTATCTGAGCATTTTCTAACTTCTTCTTGTTCTTCTTCAAAACATTCTCAAATTTCTTGTCAATGTCAGCAAACTTTTTTTCTAACATATTTTTAGAAAAATTAAAATTTTTATCTTTTTGAAAATGTCTAGCGATTTCGCTATCTATATTCGAGACAAGCTTTTTGACAGCAAAACATCTGTAGACCATAAAATCTTACATAGTGTAAACAAGAAAGGTGAATTTGTTCTAAAGTTCTGTTTCTGGGAATATGACAAGAACCATAAACATTAGGCAGAGAAGTCTTTAAGTTTGTCAATGACAGACTTGTTGACAGAGATGACGCCTCTTGGAGAGATGAAGTCCAACAAAAGTTTTTTAGAATGCAAAGAAGACACATGCGCTGTTCTTGAAGAATGAAATAGAAAACAGAATAGATGAGCTATTAAAGGACAAAGAACTTTTACATAAATATGGTTGCGCCAAATTTGACATAACTCCACCAGAGAAGAAGAAGAAGAGAGAAGAAAGAAAAGAAAGTAGAAGAAGAGAAGAAAGAACCTGAACCAGTTCCAGAGAAAAAGAATTTGACATGTAAAAATAAACTTTTATTTTTAGAACATTTCTGGGTCAATGTCAATGTTCTCTTCCTCTTTAGGAGCAAACACTGGCTTAGAACTCTAAAATCTTTTTACCCACTTACCTTGAACTTCAACTATCTTAGACTCAAATATTCATAGTCGTCTGTCTTCTTTGGTTCATAAGGTATAACAAGTTTGTATGCTTTGGCCTTCTTTAAGGTTTGAAAACTTCTGTCAAAATTTTCTTTGACTGCTAACAAACCTTCTATGTCTAAGTCTTCAAATTTCGCACCATTTTTAGTCACAATAGCAAACTTAACTGGTTCGATGTTCCAAACTTTGTCAAATGAAGACTTTTCAAAATGGTAGAAGTAAACATTCAAATAAGCGAATGGGTCTAGTTCTTCTTTGACTTCTGTCATGTACTTATTTACTGAGATGAATTTTGTCATCTTTTCTATCGGATAAAAAAATATTTTTTTAAAATTTACTCAGAAAAATTTTTCTTTGTATATACGCCATTCTGAACATCTAAAAGATTTTTGACATTTGCCAAGAATGTACGTTTAGACGCTGTCATATAACCATATTCTTGACAATATTGTTTATATTCATCATATAAAGACCTTTCATCTAATGACACAAAGTCAGTTTCATCTACGAATAGTTCATAAACACTCTTGTTTGCTTCTAACAATGTTTGTCTTTCTTCGGTATGTGGAATTTGTCTTGGATTGAACTTAGAAATATCTAATGTCATAAAGTATGAAAACAAGTGGTTGTAAAAGTCAGATGTCAAAGTTTCTGCTAAGTCGTCAAAATATTCTGTATCTTGCATATGAGAATCTGACGTTCTGACAACTACATATCTTCTGTCAGAACTTTCTAACTTCATCGGAACAACATTGTTTGAAACCATAATGAAGTTTGCAACATTTTCACAAACTCTTTGGTCTTTATACTTTCTTTCAACAACTCCAACTTTGTCTGTTATAAGACTCTTCAAAGCATCTGAGTTCAAAACTTTTGTTGTATCTATACTTTGAAGTTCGTTACATACTATAAGTTTCATATTCTCTATTGAGAGTTAAATTGCCGCAGATGTTTTCTAAGTTTGTCATATTCGGGTTCGAATAGCCTTCTAACAGTTTGCATAAGATATCTGTAAAGAATGTGTTCTTACCAGTTCCTTGTTTTCCAATTATAATGAGAGCAGTTTCATTTTTAGCACTTGGATGTTGTAAGATGTTTGCAAACCAACATAAGATATACTCATAGACTCTTTCGTTTCCATTGCATATAATTTCTTTGACATGGTCTAACCAAGCTTCTATAATATTTTCTTTCCATTCTACTTGTTCATATTTATATCCAGTGAAGATAGAATAGAAGTTTGGAGAAGGTGTATAGAACTTTATACCTCGAACTGAAAAATCTTCTAACTTTGACAATAAGATATCCCAAGCATCTAACATCTTCATCCAACTTGTACGACTTTTATTTTCTTAAGTTTCTGTCTACATTCTTGTTCTGAAACTATTGTTGCTCTTGGTTTGTTAAAGACAACATCCCATTCTTTCATGAACATAACATTCTGGGGCAGAGTCGACATAAATGACTAAACGTTTCAAATTCTCGACTGCTTTGTTATAGTCTCTAAATGGACACATATTTCTGAATGCTTGGAAGTCATAAAAATCTGAAACATCTATTCTGTACATTTTTATAAAAATAAAAAAAATATTTTTTTTATTCTTGACTTTGTTGTTCCATTTGTTGCATTTGTTGTTCTTGAGCTATTTGTTGTTGAAGTTGTTCTTGTAATACAATACTTTCACCAGTTGCATCTTCCAATTCGAAACTTTCTGCCGTCATTGACAAATACATAGGACATAAAAGTTTTACAGGAACAAAGTTTGCGTCAACTAAGGTTAAGTTTATACTTGCTAAAGTGTTTGAGTTCAAAAGCTTGAAAATTCTGCATTCGAATGAACAATAGGCAAACCAGCAGAGAAAGTATTGTTTTTATACGCATAAGTATCTTTTGGTCATAATAGTTTCTGTCGACATTCGAATAACACTTTGAACCTAAGTTTGAAACAATATATAAAATAGGTGTGCTTAAAGTCAATGGAACAGACATTCCTTGTATGACACCTTTTCCTGTTATAGGAAACTGTTGGTAGTAAAAACCAGATATAAGTTTTGTATTATAGCTCATATCGTTTATACTAAACTCAGTCGGACATCCAAACATAATGAAACCTGCTCTAGTTGCAGCACATGTTACATCCGTCCTTAAAGTATTAAATAAGTCAACAAAACCTGTTGGTGGTATATCTGAGTAAGTATCTTCAAAGGAGTATTTTTTTACCATTCACAACAATAAAGTCTTCTGGTGTCAAAAGAGCAAAACAGGCTTTAGTCGTCATTGTGTTTAAGGTTAGTTTACAATATCGTCCTTGAGGACTTTGTAAGTTTGTTGTTATAGAATTATATGACTCAGGGTTTTTAGTCGTAATAGTATAAACCATTATGTCTTCTGCCATTTACTTAGCAAATAAATTTTAATGAAATGTTGTGGTCGTCAAATATTTTTATAACGTCTGGGAAACTATATTTTAAGTTCAACGTTTCACCTCCTTTCATAACGTATATCTTGTCAATGACATTATATGAAACACCACAGCAAGCAATGTCGGGTTCTATTTCTTTGATGTTTATATCGTCTGCCTCTGTCAAAAGTTTCAATAGTTCTTTCAAAACTTCATGAGGTGCATGACATATGAGTTCACTTTTACAGGGTTGTGTTCGACCAAGTTTAACATTATACCCAAAGCTTGACAAATCTTCTCCTGAGTTTTAAGTTTGTCTTTAGTTGTTGGTAGTCGTTTCGAATATCTGCAACAGAACTTAAGTCTCTGCTAACTTCAGGGTATGTTGGTTCTTTTACAGGAACATTGTTATACCATCTTCGTCTTCGTATGGTTTCCCCACTTCAACATCTCTTCTTTGACATTGACAACAACACTTTGACTGTTTGTTTGAGTTGGTGAATTTAACTTCACATCTGCCGCCGCCATTAAACCTTTTGAAACACTTACGCTTCTATTTTTCGGAAATGACATTTTACTTAGAATAAAAAGATGGACGTATTTGAGTATCTCTTCGAATTGAAGCAAAACAAAGTTTACACACACAAACAATACAAGTTCATTGACAGAGTAGTTCTTTACACAAACAATGGAAAATGTTATAGAATAGCAGTCTTTGCTGAACCAAAATATTTTCATAAAGCAAAGAAAGTTGGTATAACCGAGATGGTGAAAGTTCTTGACAGACAAAAATATAACAACAAAACTGACCGATATTTCTAAAGGTAAGTTTTAATACAATATTATCAAAACTGGCGTACTGTCAATATTTGACGGAGAGAAGTCAGTTCAAGAACAACTTACTGACCTGCTGCCAAAATCTGCTCGATGGAAGCTGTCGTTATACCAATCTGAGGAGCCCCAGCAGGTTTCATCGAACGAATCTTCAAAAGAGCATCTTCCGTGAAAAGTGCTATTGGTTTTGTAAACTTCTTTGCTCTCAGTTCATCTGGACCGTCTCTGTCACCAGTATATTGTATTTGAAAAGAGGAGAGATGAACGCGGGTCAAACTTGGATGCAATCCCATTTGCTGATCAAAAGACTTAGGTTATCAACTTTGGACAGTACAAATACA